CGACACCAGAGAGACTCGATGAGAGACGGAGACTCGAGTCTCGCTTTCAGAGTCTCTGAGAGACTGAACATTTTTATTTCGGGTCGTATCGAGCATAATTACAAAACCATCTGTTTTAATAAAATCCTTGTTTAAAGCGTCGCATAATTTAGATGTCATGTGAAAATTAGTTGGTACACGAAAAATCATTGCAAAATTTAGGGGTTGAATTCTAAAAAATCCTTTCCTTGGTGTTCCCCCACTGTGTAAAAGGAACATCTATGGGCCTACAGAAATGTAGACTTCGGTATAATTAATACCATTAAACAATGGTTCATAACCATGAAGCCCTAAACATTCTTAAAATTGAAATTTTTCAACAAAAGATATGCATTAAAACCGACGTAGGGTACTTGTTGCTACCTATAGCCGATATGCAGTAATCCTGTCTTTTTTTTTGTTACAGTCGTGGGTCAAAAATGAAGGTAACGTATTAAACAATTTTATAGTAGCTCCTGCAACCCGAATGGCTCATAAAAAAGGATATAAATTGTCCATTACTAAAGTACCTATAGGATGAGAGCATTCCAATGAACGCCCTGCAATACTCGGTGACCTAGAATCCTGCACGAGTGCATTTTGTATCGATCATGCATTTATGATGGAAATGAACGAAAGGCGCTTCGGCACACAACCTCCTTCGATTCGTTTTTATTATACTTATACTTCTTGTTCGTGGAAAACGTAAACAAAAAGGAAGTTTTCTTTCAGTTTGTGCCACAGAAAACGGTGACGTAAAAATAGATTGCCTTTCCCACAGTGCAAATAACGCAAGACCAATAACCACGCGTTTAGCGGTTTGGACGTTTAATTTCCTACAAGATTTTCCTCATTTTTAAACGTAAAGCTCGTTTTTATGGATTCAAAGCATTTTTATTAATACTCAGTTGGAGCCTGATGCCTGAAGATGGAAATTTTCCTTTTATGTATTTTTGTATGTCAGTATTTAAAATTATTGACTTCCATAGTGCTCTTTATTCTCT